GAGAGAGAGAGAGAGAGAGAGAGAGAGAGAGAGAGAGAGAGAGGGACAGATAGGGAGAGAGAATATGCGCGCACGCATGTGTATATTTGTGTGTGTGTGTGTGTGTGTGTGTGTGTGTGTGTGTGCGCGTGCGCGCGCACTTGCACGCGTTCGCTGAAGCTATGGTAGGACTCATCAGGAGTGGCCCGTTCGATTCCGTTGCACTCGGCATGACCACAAGCCCGGCCTCGCGGCTTTTGCAGCACGTCCACCCACCTTTGTCCGGACCCAGTCCGTCGCCACAAGCAGCTGGTTGCGCAGGCTGCGCGTGCGCAAGGCAGGGCGGGGCGGAGCTGTGAGGGACCGAGGAAGGGCAGGGAAGTCGACCCTTGGCGCAGAGTGCGGCGATCCAGCTCCGCTGATCCACACAACTGTGCAGCGTCGGGCGTCCTCGCATCAAGGGGCGAGCGGCGTTCGCTGCACCCTACACCCCCTCCCCCCACACACACTCTCTCTCATGCCTGCACACAGCCGTACACACTCTCACAAGCTCCCCCCCGCCCCCCAAGTGACCCCGGTGACCCCTCAAACCTGATCTGCGCAAACGTCTCGTAGCTCTTCCACAGCAGGCCCGCGCCCGTCCCGAATATGGGGCCGAGCTTGGGCACGTCCATCACGGCCTTGTCGCTGCCGACATAGGCCAGGGAGCCCTTGTGGAAATACCTTTTGGGGTTGGGGCGGTTTTGGGGTGGATTCAGGGTGGATCGAGGGCGCCCAGGGCAAACCAGGCCGGGATGTGAGAGGCGAGGTGGGTGGGGAGAAAGCAGGGGTTCAGGGAGGGTAGGGGACACTGCAGAGAGGTCCACAAGGGGCGGCGGGATTTTCCAGGGGAGGATGTTGTGCGTGCAGGAAGGTGTGCAGGAAAGGGCGCGGTCGCTGAAGTCTCCGGCGCCCCTCGCGGCGCGCGCCACGCGGCGCCCACGGCCCGCCCCGGCCGCGCTGCGCCCGCGCCGCGCCGCGCCGCGCGCGCCGCCCCCGTCCGCTTGGCGCGGAGCCCCCACCTGAAGGGCTTGGAGCCGCCGAGCGCCGGTGCTGCGGCGGCGGGGCCTGTGATGTGGCCCTGCACCAGCAGCTCGGCGATGTACTCCCCCTGCTGCTTGGCCACCTGAATTGTGGTTCGAAAGCGCATGCCATGTGTACAAGATGATGAATGGATTCTGTCTTCCATTCGTCAATCAAGATCAATCCGTTCCATGGAGAAAAGGATTGATAACATGCAAGTAGTGCGCCCCTCTCGGGCGACGAGATGCGCGGGCGCGAGCGCAGAGGCATCAGCGACCCGAGGCCGGCGCAGCAGCAGGCGCGGGGGGCTGTTGTGTGGCGCAGCCCGAGAGTTGAGCCACAACAGCTGGCGCGCCGGCTGAGCAGCGCCGGCAGCTGGCGCTGGGATCGAGCAGGGCGAAGGAGTCCGGAAAACGGCGACAGCGAGGGCTGAGGTGGGCAACGGCACGCGCGCCTCACCTGCGCGGTGGCGGGCAGCGCCCGCAGCCCGCTGTCGATCTTCTGCAGGAGCTCCTTGAACTGCTCCTTAGTCAGGACGGTGTCCTCCTCGACAGTGGAGCTGCGGGGTTGAGCGGGGGCATGCGCACAAGTTTTTGTGATGATGTGTGTGTACATGGGTGAGTTATGTGCAGTTGTGCGTGCGTGTTGATGTGTGCGTGTGCGTGTGCGTGTGCACGTGCGTGTGTTTGCGTGAGTGTTTATCACTTTGAGGGTGTGTGTGGCTGTGTAATGCAGTGGTCGCAGTGGCAAGTTGGTGCAGAGAGAAGGGTTCCAGAAAGCGCAGCAGACAAACGTGTACGCGTGTGTGAGAGCGGTGGCAAGGAACGTGCCGCGACACGTCAGAGCACCAGCAGCTCGGGCTCGTGGGTAGTGCCAAAGGACGCGCCAATTGCAGGGACGCAGGGGGCGACAACGGTGCGAGGGGACAGTAAGGATGAACTCACAGCGGCGAGGTGTTGGCGGCGGCCGCATCCGCCGCGAAGGCGCGCACGAGGCCGCGCAGGGGCGTGTTCTTGGCCTCCAGCACCTGCGCGTGCTCCGCCAGGTGGCTGAACTCCTGCGCACGGCGGGAATCGAACGCGGGCGGCGGCGAAGGGAAAGGCGGGGCAAGTCCGGGGGTCAGGTGAGACAATACGCCTTTCTTGGATGGGCATCGAGTCACAACCGCCGCGATTTCGTAGAGCCTCCCGCCCTTCTCCAGGCACAAGGCTGCCGAAATCGAGCCCCGCCAGCCCGCGTGCAGCTGGGTATAAAATCGGTGTGCTCGTGCGCGTCCCTGGCGTGCCAGGCGTCAGAACGCCCGCCCGGCTGCGAGGCGGCTGGCAGGCCGGCGCTGGCACTGCCGTTGGCCGCCCCCCCCCCCCAAGTTCCAGCTGCAGTGGGCTGGGAAGCCTTGCTCTCAAAGCGGTCCCACACAAACGCGCACGCACACGTGAACGCATGCTTGCACCAATACACACACGTGCGTGCACACACCCACACCCACACCCACACACGCGCGCGCGCGCACACACACCTTTGATGCCTCATTCAGAATGTCCTTCAGCTCCTCAATTGACAGCGCACCACTCTGAAACAGACGACAAGGGGAAAGGGAAATGCACCATGCTGAGTTGAGATGGAAGGGAGCCAACCCGCGGGGTGGTGGGAAGGGGCAGGGTACCGCCTTTTGTGCAAGGCATGGCGGAGGACAGCAAAGAGCGCAGCGCCAGCAGCGACTGGCAGGGGGAGGAGGGGGTGGTGGAAGGAGCGTGGTTGGGGATTGTGCCGTCCGGCCTGCTCGCCGGTCACAGCGGGGCCCGTCTCTGCACTTGTCGGCATCCGTCCCCCTCGCTGCAACCCCATGCGCACACTCATGCTCGTGCCCGTGCATGGGCACGCACGCGTACGCCCACGCGCACGTGCACACTCGCGCGCGCGCGCGCACACACACACACACACACACACACACACACACTGAGGCACAGCAAACACACACACAGCCGACACACACGCACGCACAAGATACACTTGTACACCCATCCCCACGGACACTACACCAGCCCATGAGCCCCACCTTGTCCTTGTCCGCCTGCTCAAACAGCCTGTCAACGTACTCCACCGCCTTGGGCTGGTCGATGGTGGCCGCGTCACCGAACGCCCAGATGCTGCCGTCGCTGCCCTTCACCCGCAGGAACTCGTCGGTCAAGAGAGACCTGCAGGGCCGCACGGCGCGGCGCGGCGGGAAGGTGAAGGTGGAGCGTCGCGGGCTCGTCGAAGCGAGTCTTGGGTCGGAGATCGGGGATTCCGCAGCAAAAGCAGGCCGGGGCCCCGAGCGGGCGCGCCCCTGAGCCGTTCTATGCGCGCCCTGGAGCCTTCCGCCGCCAGTACCGGTCACGCCAAGCCGAGGGCGCATCTAGGGCGCCCTCGCGCAAAGTCCGCCTCCTTGCACAGAAATCAAGCCGCTCGCTTTTTTTGGGGTTTCCCCCCCCCCCAAAATAAACACACACGCACACACGCCAGCGAGCGCAGACACGCGAGGAAGCGCATGCCCGCGCGGGCGCACGCACGGACGCGCGCGCCCACGCGCGCGCGTACACAAACGGATGCACGCACGCACGCACACACACACACACACACGTATACACACGCACACACATGTAGACACACACACAAACACACACCATGCACACACGTACACATACACCACGCGACCCGCGCACCTGAAGTGCGTCTGCCCCGGCAGCACCTCCTGCAGCTGCTTGACCAGCGGGTTCATGGCGATGCCGGTGGCCCACACGCAGGCACCAAATTTGATTTCCTGCTCCTGGCCGGCCTTGTTGACCACGGTCACTGGTTTGAATTTTTTGAAGGGGGGGGGCAGGGGTGGCGGGGTGGGGAGTGGGTTTTGCATGGAGGGGATCTGTGGCTTGGGGGTGGTGGTTGCGCAAGGGGGTGGTTGCATGCGGGGTGGTTGGTGTTCCAAGTGGTGGGGGGACCGAAGGTTGCATGGGGGACGATTTGCAATGACGTAGGGGAAGGGATGCTTGCGGGTTTCGTTGCAAAACGATTGGGAGGCGGGGAGGGGGCCGGGCTCCAACGCCGACAAGGCGATCAAGCGCCGGGCCTATGTGCGCGGCCTGTTGTCGGGGGCAGCAAGGGGGGCAGGGCCTGCGGGGCCGGGTCTATGTCGAGGAGCGGGGGGCTTATCGGAACCAGCGGCTCACCGTAGCCGTCGCGCACGCTGGCAACCCGGCTGTTGAGCACCAGGTCGATGCCTGGGAAGGACCATAATGTTGCGTTGGGTTTGGGAGGAGGGCAAGAGAACAAGGCGTGGCACCTGCCTTTGCGCAACACCCGCCGGCAGACAGCCTGCTCCGCCGCGCGGGGCGCGGCCCCGTGGGTGGGGGACATGCGCGGGAGCCGCCCACCTCGACACATTCACACATTGCGCTCGTTGCCTTGTCACTCCTCCAAACACACATACACGCACATGCACACACACACACACACACACATGCACGGACATGTTGACACACACGCAAATGCACACGTGCACATGCACACACACACACTCATGCACACACGGGTTAACACACACGCACGTGCACACACACACACACACACAT